TAACACTAAAGTGCCATACAGCACATACAGATTAAGATCTGTGGGTATAAATAGTGCAATTATAAACAGTAGTGCAATTAGAATGAGCACACAGAACCAGCTCCAGGACCCCAACCAGTCTGGCTTCATACCAGCACACTCAACAGAAACTGCTCTTATAGCAGTGACAGAGAAGCTCCAGTCAGCAAGATCAGCCAGTCTGTCATCTGTCCTGATTCTTCTTGACCTTTAAGCAGCTTTTGACACGGTCAACCACACAATCCTTCTGGATGTCCTCACCAACCTTGGAATCACTGGCTCTGCGTGGAAATGGATCAAGTCCTATCTGGAGGATCGCTCTTATCAGGTAACATGGAGAGGGTCCACATCCTCTCCATGCAGGCCCTCCACTGGTGTCCCACAAGGCTCGGTGCTAGGTCCCCTTCTTTTTTCTCTTTACACTAGCTGTCTTGGCAATGTAATATCATCTCATGGCTTCTCTTATCACTGTTATGCTGATGACACTCAACTAATGCTTTCTTTCTCACTCTCTGACACCCAGGTTTCCAGTCGGATCTCATCATGTCTGTCTGACATCTCTTCATGGATGGCAGCTCACCACCTGAAGCTCAATCCTAGCAAGACTGAGCTGCTATTCATCCCTGCAACTACAGGTCCTCATCATGATCTTGCCATCTCATTCGAGAACTCTCTGATTGTTCCATCTGTAGAGGCAAGAAGTCTTGGTGTGGTTCTGGATGGCCAGTTATCGTTCTCGACTCACATTGCGAACCTTACTCGGTCATGCAGATTTCTGCTGTTCAACATCCAGAGGATCCGACCCTTTCTCTCGAGAGAGGCCACCCAGGTGCTAGTGCAGTCTCTTGTCATCTCAAGGCTTGACTACTGCAACTCGCTCTTGGCTGGTCTTACAATGCAGGCCTCTGCAACTCATCCAGAATGCAGCAGCACGACTCATCTTCAATCTCCCAAAGTTCAGCCACGTCACCCCACTGCTGCGCTCCCTTCACTGGCTTCCTGTAGCTGCACGCATCAGATTTAAAACCCTTATGCTTGCCTACAAAGCCAAAAATGGACCAGCCCCTCCCTACTCGATGGCAATGGTCAAATCTCGAACTGTACCACGAGCCCTTCGAGCTTCGAGTACAGCTCGGCTTGACCCGCTATCCTTCAAGGCGTGCGGAAGGCAAGCATCAAGACTGTTCTCTGTGCTGGCACCCAGGTGGTGGAACGAACTCCCACTGGCTGTCCGAACAGCAGAGTCTCTCGCTGTCTTCAAACGCAGACTGAAGACAGATCTCTTTATACGGCACTTAAATGAGCACTGAATTAAGTATTGATTGTAATGTATTGTATAACACTTATGTATTGTATTGTATTGCACTGCTATGTGTTTAACTCTGTTCCTTTTTCACTAGGTGTCAATGACTTTCTGATTCTAGCAGTATCTGAGCTTAGGACTGGCTTTCTCTCTAACCTATTGGTAACTAGCGAAGATACTTTATCTGGATAGACAAAGCACTTTTTGTAAGTCACTCTGGATAAGAACGTCTGCTAAATGATGTAAATGTAAGCTTATGGAGCAGTTAAAGTGATGAGTGCATAGTCGGGAGAGAGAGAAGCCGCAGCATGTGCACGCACCGCCGCCTTGTTAGTACAAGATGGTGTGATGTGTTGCTCAGAACAGCAACGAGCTTATTAACTGACCTCCTTTCAAAGACCACCTCAAAACCATCCAGTGAGCATCCCAAGACAGCACCAGACTTCTTGATCAGTTTATTCAGCCTTTTTGCATCACCTCCTCTGATGCTTCCTCCCCAGCAGACTGCTGCAAAGAAGACAGCACCCACAACAAGACTGGTAGAAGATCGCCAACATCTTTGTGCACACATTAAATGACCTGAGCCATCTCAGAAAGTAGAGACTGCTTATATCCTTTCTGTACACAGCCTCTGCGTCGCCCCCCCAGCCCAGTTTGTAGTTAAGCAGGGCACCTAGATATTTGTAGGTGTCTACAAGCTCAAGGTTCTGACCCATGATGGTAACAAGACTGATTGTGGTTCTCTTTCTCCTAAAGTCCACCACCATCTCCTTGGTCTTGGTCACATTGAGGATCAGGTGGCTCCTTGTACACCACTCCACAATAATTTCCACCAGGTTTCTATATTCTTCTTCCTGTCCATCTCTAATGCACCCAACCACCACAGAGTCATCAGAAAATTTCTGAATGTGGCAGAGGTCCGACCTGTATTGGAAGTCCGTCGTGTACAGGGTGAAGAGGAAGGGGTGCTCCAATGCTGCTGACCAGATGATCTGACAGGCAGGTTCACAACCGCACATACTGGGGTCCTCCAGACAGGTAGTCTAAAACCCATGCAATCATGGACTTGTCCACCTGCATTTTCTCCATCTTCTCCCCCAGCATGAGAGGTTGGATGGTATTAAATGCACTTGAGAAGTCTAAGAAAGTAATTCTCACTATGGTGTTATTCTGGAATGTGCTTTCTGCAGTAGATACATAACAGTGTTGTCCACACAAACCTGCTGTTGATGAGCAAACTGCAGGGGGTCCAGAAAAGAGCTGACCTGAGGTGTGAGATGTGACAGCACTAGTCTCTCCAAGACTTTAAAGACACAACCCATTACAGATTTACTGTGCTTTATTTTTTGTTTTGTTAGTTTCTTTTTCTCCTGTTTGCTTTATTTAGTAGTTCAGTCTTTTTTGGTATGTTTTATAGCTTTTTTATCATTGTGCTATTATTGGCTGTACTTACTGCTCTACTGTTTGTTTCCTATTAGCAGAGTCTCTGTGAATCATGTTCAAAAGCAAGTCTTTATGGCCCGAATGCCCCCCCTGTCTGTTGCCTGTTAGGACTGCAATAGTAGTGGCTATAGATATACTGATAATGACTCTAAACTGTTGTGGGTTTTGGGCTTTCTGTTCTTTGTGGTTGCCTCATGGAGGTGGTCAGTGTAGCACACCTGAACTCTCTATAGAAAAGAGTGGCTCTTTATTTTTGTGCACATCTAAAAATATTACAGGCAAAGATACATTAAAGAAGAGCATTCAATTAAAAGTATGTACACTTCAGCATTTATATACATTATTAATTATGATAAATAACATGCTTGACTTAACACTAAGGCAGTACACAACAACAGAAATCAAATTATTAGACATTTTTCCATCTGAAAGAAATTTGATATCAAATAAAGTCAAGAAATTATCTTATTCTATTAGAATTCCTGCTACACAAACATAGTTAATAATGCACTAAATTTAATAATAAAGCAATTGTTAAAAAGACAGAAATAATATATAATGTATAATGTGGTGGCCATTTCTAATAAACACAACAGCAGTGTCACAGAGTCTCTGATGAATCATCACAGTATTATGTTGATTTAAAATTATGGCTGGGGAGAAGCTTCTTGTAAGAACCCAGAGATCTCCAACTGCAGCCAAAATTACATGAGGTTATACAGTCCCGAAAAGGGGAGTTTGTACATTTCATTCATCAACAGAGAACAAAGCAGTTACAAAACACTGGTAACACTGTAATATGAATAAACAAGAGAACATTAACGCAAAGGCATAATACATTCGCTGAGGAAACAAAGGTAAAACCAAGACCTGGTATGTAAAAAGTGGCTGATTTTGTTACAGCCAGGCACAATCTTTGCATACACACATGAGAGAACAGAGGAAGTTCACTCTGATCTTATAAGTAATATATAACATTATAGCATACAGAGATCATAAATATACAAGTGGTATTACTAGAGTCATATGTGAAACTACTGCTTCCATAACAGTAAGATAAAGTGAAATAAGGTAGTATGACATTCATATAAAAAGTCAAAAAAATTATTAAATTCCTTAAATGACCAGCAGAATGATGTCTTCACACAATGGAAAATACTAACAAAGTGTATCGATTGTAGATGTGAGAAGTCCTTCACCAGCTTCCTGTATTCCTCATGCACCCCACAATGGCCGTGTCAAACGAGATTTTTTGCACGGCACTGTGTTGTACCTGAAGTCAGAGGTGTACAGGTTGAACAGGAATGGGGCTAATTCAGTCCAAATGTGGTGCCCCAACACTGCACACAGCTTTGTCTGAGACACAGCCCTGCAGTCACATAAACTGAGATCATCCAGTGAGACAGTCAATTATCCATGAGATGATGGATTCATCCACCTGCATCAGTTGTGGCTTCTCCCCTAACAGCACAGGCTGTATGGTCTTGAATGCACTGGTGAAATTGAAGAACATGGTCCTCACAGTGCTGCCTGATGTGTCCAGATGAGAGTATGTTCTGTCCAGCAGGTAGATAACTGCATCATCCACTCCAGTGCCATCTTGATACGCAATGCCATGCTGATATCTGGCAATCAACTGTGAGTTGTATTATTGAAAACTGGAAACATTTAGGGACTATAGCAAGCACCGAGTGTGTCGGCGAGTGTTGAGGCGCATAATACCTAAAAGTTAACAACGCTCTGCTAACTCAATAGCTGCACAGTTCCAAACCTCCTCTGGCATTAAAATCAGCACAAAAACTGGGCACCAGGAGCTTCATGGCATGGGTTTTAATGTCCAAATAGCTAATGTCCCTAGTGTGTGTGTATTCACTAGTGTGTATGTGGTGTTTCACTGCATGGATGGGTTAATGCAGAGGTGAAATTTCCCCGTTGTGGGATTAATAAGGGTCACTTAACTCACCATTGCACATCTCAGATGCAAGTTTCAGTCATGGCCCTTTTCATCTCACTCAGCACAGCAGAACTGGTCGTGGAAATGACCATGGAAATGAAATATTGGCTGTTCTGGTTCTCAGAAGATGAAACTTGTAGCAAGCTGGAAAAAAAAACTTTTGACTGCTTGGGAGAAAACACAAACAAAAAAAACACAAACAAAAAAAATATGCATTTAAATCAATCAAGGCCCTTGCCTGATAAAGTAAGATTTCACTTCTAACTCAGGACAGAAGCCCAAAATTTAAATGACTGAAGCTCTTCCCAAACTCTGCGCAGTGATGTTCTCTCAGGAGTGAATGCACTGGTGATTTTTGAGGGAACCACTTTGTCTAAAACTCTGTCCACACTCTGAGCAGTGATACGGTTTCTCTCCTGTGTGAATGCGCTGGTGTCTTTGGAGACTACTGTGTTGAGTAAAGCTCTGTTCACACTCTGAGCAGTGATATGGTTTCTCTCCTGTGTGAATGAGCTGGTGTGTTCGGAGATTACTCTGCTGAATAAAACTCTTTCCACACTCACAGCAGTAATACGGTTTCTCTCCTGTGTGAATGCGCTGGTGTGTTCGGAGATTAGTCTGTGTAGTAAAACTCTTCCCACAGTCAGTGCAGTGATAAGGTTTCTGTCCAGTGTGAATGAGCTGGTGTGTTTGGAGACTACTCTGTGTAGTAAAACTCTTTCCACACTCTGAACAGTGATACGGTTTCTCTCCTGTGTGAATGCGCTGGTGTTTTTTGAGGTTACCACTTTCTGTAAAACTCTGTCCACACTCTGAGCAGTGATACGGTTTCTCTCCTGTGTGAATGCGCTGGTGTGTTTGGAGATGACTCTGTGTAGTAAAACTCTTTCCACACTCTGAACAGTGATATGGTTTCTCTCCTGTGTGAATGCGCTGGTGTTTTTTGAGGTTACCACTTTCTGTAAAACTCTGTCCACACTCTGAGCAGTGATACGGTTTCTCTCCTGTGTGAATGCACTGGTGTGTTTGGAGATGACTCTGTGTAGTAAAACTCTTTTCACACTCTGAGCAGTGATATGGTTTCTCTCCAGTGTGAATGCGCTGGTGTCTTTTGAGGTTACCACTTTCTGTAAAACTCTGTCCACACTCTGAGCAGTGATACGGTTTCTCTCCTGTGTGAATGCGCTGGTGTCTCTGGAGACTACTGTGTTGAATAAAACTCTTTCCACACTCTGAGCAGTAGTGAGTTGTTTTGCCTGCAATTTTTTTATTTGATCTGCAAGGTGTGTTCATATTTTCTGAGTACTGGAACTTCCGGACAGTCTTTGCTTATTTCAGCAGTTTCGTGCTTTGTTTTTGAAGGGTAATTTGAAAACTAGTTGGAAAGTTGTTGTTTGGAGCAGGAGACTTGCAGCAGGAGATTATTCTGAAAAAGAAAAAGGAGAGGAAAATAAAACACTGGTAGATTAAGTATTAAAGAAGATAACTGAAAAATTTACAAAATCCTATGTTTTTATAAAGAACTTTAAACTCACTTAGGTAAGAGCAGAATCTACACATATCTATTCTTTAGGGGCACCTGTGTCAACAACATTCCCACATAGCCAGAACTTATTTAACTCATATTGACATTTTAAAACATGCCATACATAATGTTCTTATTGAACATTGAACATGTACAGTTTCCCGTACACACAAGAAGACACCATGCAAGAAAAGACCATGCGAGAAAAACAGACTGTGAAGAACGGAGAGTTATTATAGTTTGTGTGGTAACTATATCATTGTGAATCATGTCAGAAACTTTTCTAGAACCATGGTGAACCTGTTGGCCCCACAAAATGTACTTTCTACTTGAAACCACAGCCACAGACATTTTTAAGTCGAATCAGAGTATGTATCTCTTCATTACAGACTGCAAATCCAGATATGCGCACTTGACTTCTCTGGGTGCATACAGCTCAAAACATATTACTTAAGGCACCACATTACCCACAAGCTAACAGAGAGGCAAGTAGAGTGACACAAACTGGGATTTTTATTTTTTAGGTAGATATAGCGAAATGGCCAGGACGGCACAGTGAAGAGTAGTAACAGCAAAGCAATTATGAAACCAGTTTTAAAATATCAATTGTCTTCATTCAGTGCCAACATTAAGGGAAATAGTATGAAAAATTTGAGAAAATCACACTTGAACTGTACTGACCTTGATCAAAAGGGTCAGTTTTCAGAGAAATCTACATTAGTGGGCAGATTACAGAAGGCGTATTCAGTGGTAGATAACAAAAGGTCTAAGTTTGCACTGATCAAAGCAGTCAAAGATGCCTAATACAAATACAGAGATACAGTAATTCTCCTCACATGAAATTTTCCTCCATTTGGGAGGTGACTCCAGACCTTTACTATCCACAAATTTTGCAGCAAATATTGCAGCTAATCCCAAACCAGCTGAATAACATTTCATCAAGATAAAAAAGCCTTTCCTCCCACAGGTCCAGCAAGTGTGGCTATATTTATAAAAACATACTTGAATCTCATTCTAATTTAGTTTTTGAGTTCTCATTCCAAATTTATAAATATTAGTGCACGCTTAAATATACACACTCAACTTTTCACGTGAGACTGATCATTTGTAAATAATAAAAGGTCATAAAATTGGGTGTTTGTGAACAAGCTTTCCAACACTGTCCATCTTTTGTGATTAGCATATGAATGTTTCCAGCAAAGAACACTCAAATGAAAAGAATGTAGCAAATCTGAATAAGGGGATGTTCACCTGTTCAACAGTAAGCATACTAAAAGTAGTAATTCGTTTATTTATTGAAAATAATACCAAATAATACTAAAAGAGCTGAGAAGGAGGATGGCCTCAGGATCATGTATTAAACCAGCTTGATCTTAAAAGCTGGTTCTCAAGAACACACTAACTTATTTACTTATTCTTAATACATGAAAAGATGCCTGAATGCCTCATATCAAAGGTGTATTCACAGATCACACGGCAGAGGGGCACATGGTGCATATGATACAGCTCTGTGTTATGGTCTCAATTTATTTCATGTTTTTGATCCCAACTTGATTTTAATGATCCAAAAAGAATACAGACCTACATCATTGGACAAAAAGTGCTATTTACCAGATGAGAAAAGTGAAATTTAGTTTTTTAGAAACTTACATCAGTAAAATTCAACATTGTTGACATGTTGGTTGAAACCATTTAACCTTTTGTGAGAGCTCACTGCTGCGCACTGTCTCCCTTCAGCAGAACCACATCAACCATTAGTAGAACTGGTTTTAGTGATGTAGGTAAATCTAGCAGATGGGTGAAGGTAGTTGGGTCCCCTCAGTAGTTTGTACTGCTCTCGTGTCTAACTGATCCTGCCAAAAATGATCTGAATATTACAGCACTGTTTAAATTCTTGAGTGATGCCCTGATGTTTCTGATAACTTGTTATTGATGTGAGATTTCTGTTATGAAATGTAGGTAACAGCTGTAATGCCTACAATTTTTTTTGTAGCTGACCCTGACTGAGTTGCAGAGAGTTTGAGCAAAAAAACTGATCACCCCTTACTAGCAAGCTTAGCTGAGAGGTTGGCAGCTGAAATGTTAAGAGGAGCCATTTTTCAACAAAAATCAAACCACCTTGGGAGCCACAACATTTATATCCATTTTACCATCTTGGCTGTAAAGAAGTCTCAGTATGTGCTAATGTGCTAAAAATATAAAATGAAAACTAAAAGACTTACTTTACTCTGCTTTAACCTTCAGGTCAGCTGTAGCTGTTTTTCTCGCACCTCAGTCAGGAAACTTTTCTGCGAGTTTCTTGTAAAATGTCTTTCAACATTAGAATTTTTACGAGTCTAAAGTCGCTTCTCATTCACCAGCTTCTTGTCGAATTGTCCCGTTCCACCTTAAATGAGAGATTGTACTGCTGTGCCGTTTAAGGTAGAACAGGAGAATTCGAACGAGAAGCCGGAGAATGAGAAGCTGAATTCAGCTTCACGAGTTGTTGCAGATTAAACATAGGAGGAAACCAGCTGAGCACTTATAAATGCCAAGAAGTCCATTCATCTCCAAATTATTGATGTTTGTCTTAAATCTCTCTCTTTGCCTTTTTGTTATCTGCATTGCTGTGTGTCCAGCAGTCTGCATGTCAGTCTTCAGCTTTAAAGTTGGTGAATTAGCAGTTATGCATTAACTCCAGCATTCAACAGTGTTTATTGTGAAAACTGCGTTAAAACTGTGTGTTATAATGATTTAAGAGCAAAGGAGTATTGTGTTATTTTACCTAAAAATGTAGTTCTTCTGTGGAGCTGCAGCAGCTCTGCAGCAGGAGAGATTATTCAGGCCTGATTCTCACCCCAAACATAACCAGAGTCACTGATGAGGATTTTGAAGCTAAAGTGTTACTGAAGTAAACAAAGGAGTCTGAACGTCATGTCTGTACATATCTTGTTTAAATTCTAGCGGTTTTATTTCAACAGTTGACAATGCTTTGCACAAAATTGTTTGGTTTGTATCTAGTTATTTTTTTTGTTAGGAAAAACCTGAAATGATTGACTTTGCCTTTACTTAGTCTAAGTTTTTGTCGGATATCACACATTTTGTTGTTGGTTACACTTAAACTTTTTGCTGATCTTTTTGTATATTTGCAGCTTTTTAATTGTGTGTTTCTTTCTTGCTCATGATTACATACAGTGTCTTGTTCACACCATCAGTTGGGCTTTTTTGGTGTGTCAGGTGGAGATTCACAAACATTCTTGCGATCATACTTTGAAAGTAGCTAAAAAGTAGTGCACTGCTTTTCAAAAAGAAGCTAAAAAGTAGCCACTTTTTCCAGAAAAGTAGCTGAATTGTAGCTGGCTACAAATGTTGGCAAAGTAACTACAAAATAGCTAACTACTAATTTTTCAGTAGCTAACCCAACACTGACCACTGATGTTAAACTGCAATTGATGTTAATTAAAGTAGCCAGGCAGCTAAGTAGCACATAAAATATATGAGACAGATTTTCAGTTTAATAAATAGCAAACTAATTTATCTATAGATAGATTGGTTAGGGTAGAGGCTGAGTTGTGAAAGCAGAGATCTCTCCAGGTTGCAGGAGACAGATTTAGTAGTTGAAGGCTCTTTTCTTCTTTTTGTTTGAAAACAAATGACAAACATCCAAGCAGACTGTTGTGTTAACTGTGTGAAGAGAACTCAGTACGGAAAATGCTTCTTAGCAACTGTACAAAAACTGTAGCTGGTTCAGTAGGAATATCCAAGTGTAGAAGCTTCTAATTCTGCTGATTATATTATCAGGAACAGAGCACTGAACTTAAAGCAGTGCTTAAAGCATATAGGCAGATGCGTTAGAAATAAAGATAAACCCTGAACTGCACTGACATTTATGTTGATGTCATAACAGGCTACTGATAGGGGGGTTACAGCATTTGAGGTTTTAACATTTCAAGAACTTAAAGAATTATTGTTCTATTATCAGTTTAGTTAAGTAAACTTCTTCAAGGAGACTTGCATCTCAAAGAACTATATATATTTACAACAAATAACCCTGGTTCTCCACTGACTTGGAGACACTATGCAGAGCCAAGAAAAACAGCAGTGGAACACTGACACCAAATGAAAGGGCTGAATGTGGAGTCAAATATGGATAAACTGTGACAGTTCAAATAACAGTTCTTTTATCTGGAGGAGATTCAAGACCATTACTAACTACCAGCCAAAGCCTTAAATGTTCCAAAACAGCTGAATATCTTTTGCTTAAGAACTGAGAAACAAAGATTTTCTGTCTCCCTCCTGCTGAGCTACCGTCAGTCTACGAAACCATGTCTGCAGACTCTTCACACCTCATCTCTGCCCGTTCTCACCTCTAAAGGACCCACGAACCCCCTCCTGACCTCTCCTATCATTATCACTGAACATCAGGTCAGACAAAAGATTGGAAACATGGCTGGCCCTGATGATGTCTCACCTGCAAACCACAAAGCTATGGTCATCCTTGCTGGAAAAAAGTTCAATAAATAAACATGGGTTACCATGACCCTCTATGCCTCAGAACTGGTGGTCCTCAGAGGTGCATGATCTCTCCATATGTACTTTATCTAAACCAATATAATTCTAGTCAAAATGAAATTTGTGAAACTAATTTAGTCTCATTTTCAAATTAATAATGAGCCAACGTACTAGGAGGAAGTAAGGCACCTGGGATCAAACACCCGTTTCCACCTGGTCACTAAAATATTAGGATACAATCCAGATACTAGTCACATGAAGTGACCAGGTGTAAATG